AGTCCACTGTGCCCTTGCTGCTGACGGAGAAACAAAGCGAAACCTGCAGCTGGCCCAAACATGTTGCAAAATAAGAATACATAGTGCATACCACCATATCAACACAAACTTCCAGGTGAAGTGCAGGAACCCATGCACAACACGCTAACACCCCCACTACATGACAAGACCACAACACCAGCCACGCAATCAGTCACTCTTTTCTCCCCCCCTGCCTGGAACCTCAATAGTGGGATTTACCACGCTAGCATGAGTGAACGCAGGCCACTCAAACCTCACACAGCTAACACATACCAGTGTTCTTGCGCACCGCACCAAAAATTAACATGACACAACATCACATTAGCATTACACACACGCAAAATGTGCTGTGAGAGGCATGAGCGAACACGTGGCACCTGGCTTAGTGGTCCACCGGATTGATAATTCCATCAACCCAGAGCAGCAAACCACTGTAAAAAAAAGAAAAAGAGACACGACCACAGAAAACTAGCCCGAGCTCGCAACACTCGGACGAGGTCTGCCACTGGGGGACCCTAAATAAACAGGGTCGATGAGACTACACACGTCTGAGAACGCCAAAAGAAAAATTTACAAGAAATCTGAACGAAAATAAAAAAAAAGGACCGTCAAATATATTACAATCCTGCAACCGCCGCCTGGTCCTGCTAGAAATGGGCGTCCCTGAATTGCCCACGGCGAGGATTGCAACGGATTGCGATCCCTCTTTCATGAGGACGAGAGGGGCAGCCATCTTGCATCTCTGGGCTGGTCGCCTCGACCGTACCTGAAAACTGTTGAATCGAAGGCAAAACTAAAAATTACATAACACTGGATTAGTTGCTGGTCTAAATGTTCCGTCCCCTCTGTCAGAAAACGTTTCTAGCTTTCCCCTGCGAAGGATGGCAACGGATTCTATCCTGCAAAGAAACAAACCTCTCCATGGCCAGACTCGTTTCATAGGCATCCTTCCTTCCTGCTCCTTTGAAACATACATCCAAGGACAATATTAGCCGAACGAGTTATAAAACAAAACACAGCCAACAACAAGGAGAAGTCGTAGACATCATCCCTCCATGAAATAGCTTGTTATTACCTTCGCCAAGAAGGTTATGTTTTCAGGGGCGTTCGTGTATGTGTGTGTGTGTGTGTGTGTGTGTCTGTCAACACGATAACTTGAGAAGGTCTTGATGGATTGTCTTGATACTTGGTAGGTGGGTAGGTCTTGATGAGACCTCAAAATGATTAGATTTTGGGCTACCTGGCGGCTTGTCATGGTACTGCAGCAGAACTTCCGGTTTTGATATCTCATGATCCAGACATGCTAGGGTGACGAAATTTAGATGGTAGATAGCTCTTGTACTGGGGATAAAGTGACATGAGTTTGAGCCCCCTAGTTGCTTGCTCTAGAACTGCAGGGGGGTTTAATGGACAAATGTTTAAAGGGGGATAACTCAAGAACCGATTGATGGCATCGTGATTTTTGGTATGTAGGTAGCTTGAGTGATGCTTGACATAATGATATTACAATTATGCAAATATGGATGTAATTTGCATAATTAATGAGGAAATTCTATTTATCAGCTGCATTCCATAATAGGAAGTTCAAGCTTGTGACATATGTTATTAAGAATGAGAGAAACACAGGCAGATATTGATTATGCAAATGAAGACTTAATTTGCATAATAACTGAGAAAATATTATAATTGCATAGTGGTAACTGCCTGGAATTTTATACTTGGGGTGTTTGAAAGTTAAGTTAAGGTGAACATAATTCAACATAACTTATTCAAATAAGGACCTCATTTGCATAATTTATGAGAAAATTTCATCATGGCATTCTTTGTTAAGATAAGACTGTCTTTTGGTGGAGAATATGATCAACAGATATAATTCATGCAATTGAGGATCCTATTTGCATAATTAGGGGAATTAATATATAATTTCTTAATCATAAAAGCTAACATCATTTGGCGAAGGTATGAGATCGTGGAACTCTAGTTTTGTAATCTTTTGGTGTATTTCAATAGAGATATTATGAGTCAAACTTTGTTTTATCAGCAGAATGATTTGTGGTGGCACATTTGTGTATTTATCAAGCTGTCACGTCTTGTTACCATGGTTTGTTTACTTTGATGGCCAGCAGGTCATTTGCCTTAGCCTGGGTACCATCCCCAGTAGTATATTCGCAAACTCTATAACTGTTATAGAGTTTGCGAATATACTACTGGGGATGGTACCCAGGCTACATTTGCCTGTACATGTAGGTCAATGACCAGGTCAAATGACCTGCAGACCAGACAAACAAGATTTATTTTCCTGCATCTCTGTCTAGGGGTAAAAATAGATAGGGCTGCCTGGGTCTGACCTGCCAGCTGGAGGTATAAACAAAAACACTCTGTCCCAACTTTTGGGTCAAACAGACCATCCTATTATGAAGTAGGGGTGAAAAAGTGAAAATCCTTTTAAATTAAGCAATAAAAATATGCGACAACCTGCTAATGCACTCCAAAACACAAAGAGACTCAACAACTACCCACATACCAAAAATCATACCAAACCATCCCCCAGATTTTCCAAACATTCAACACAAAAAGTCCAACATTAAACATTTTGTAAATATCAAACGCAAACAGCTAGGGGACCCAAATTTAAACCACTAGACCATGGTAATAACAACTACATGCTACCTTAATATCGCACAAACAGTCCATAACGCGAAAACAACAGAATAAAAAAATTAAACTGCAGTACCAAGGTCAATCACCAGGGGCTCAAAGTCAACCTACACAATCTCCAAGGCCCCATCCATCAATCTGCCAAATATCGTACAGTTCCTTCTCACCGATCTTCAGATATCAGACCAAACATGAAACGGAGTAAAAACAGTACCCCCATTTTCATGGAGGGTAAAAACTGTGTCTAAACTTCGCCGGTAGCTCTCCTACGGCACCCAAACCTGCTCTGCCACAGCACGGCGATCTACCGGCTCAACGCCGCGGCAGCCACGGTCTCCCCGCACGAGCAGTCCCGCCTGAATCCGGGGTGCCTCGCCTCGACGGGTTTTGCTGGGTGGGGGGCTTGAAGAGCGTAGGCCAGACGTGGACGGGGAACCGGGCCTGACCCGGAAGAATGACGTCATGCTGGTATTGCATTGTGGGTGATGACGTCATACCTTCCGGCCCTATAGCCGAGCATGACAAATACTAGTAGGTGACGTTTTTTTCCCAAGTAATTTTGACACGGAAATGATGCGCCATTATGACATTTATTTATGACGATTTACCACATTTGTGGAAGGATTGACATAACAGGTGACTATCACCTTTTCAAAGATGTCAAACCTGAGACCAGACTGTAATGTTTGAACCACTCACACCGGGAAGGTCCCCTACTCTTTTCGATAAGTGTGGTGGGTTCTTTAACGTGCGTGTGGTGTGGCTCTCCCAAACACGGGACCTCCATTTAACGTCCTATCCGAGGGACGTCCCTAGCCGAAGCTAGGTACTCATTTTCACCTGAGTGAAGTGAGGAAAGTCGTGTTAAGTACCTTTCCCAAGGGTACAACGTCAGGGCGCATGTTCGGACTTGTTCGGGTACGACCCGGAATCGAACGCGGGTCTCCCCGTTTCATAGTCCAGTGATGTACCACCACCACACGACGCCACGTATAGTTACATGGACATATATCACACGTCCATATTGTGGGTATAAAACACGTGCTGTCCAACGTAAAATACGTCACGTCCGACCTGCACAGAAACGCACGTCACATACCATGTGACTCGCCGTATTGTGGGTGACTGCGGATTTAGCAAAATAACTCTTGAAGGCATGATTCGACGTTCATGATTTTTGGCAGGCAGATTACTGAGCCCAAAGGATGTTGAGGCCAAAGTCAAGTGCAAGTTTGGGCCTCGTGGGGGGTCCCTACGTCACTGCAGTGGACCTCTTGTGTTTGTCGCTTGTTAGCAAAATAACTCGAGTATATTTAAATGAATGTTCATGATTTTTGGTAGGCAGGTTACCGTTGTAGCTGACCTTGCTACTGCAGCAGAACTTCCGAATTTTGGATCTTCTGTAATGACAGTGTTTTACATAATAGTACTTTTATACATATAATATATGTAATCTACGGCAGGTGGAACATCAACAGATACCAATTACGCAAATAATGACCTAAGTTGCACAATTAGTTTAGTTCTGCGAGATATAGCTTCCTCCCTCCAGAGATAACCACTATGGGTTGTAAGGTTGGTAACGAAGAATAATACGAAGATAACTGGTATGTTATTGCGGTTTGTCTCCACAGATATCGACCAATGTACAACTGGCACGGACAATAATTGCGATGATGATGCAACCTGTACTAACACAGACGGCAGTTTCACCTGCAGCTGTAACACCGGTTACACCGGGGACGGAGTCACCTGTACTGGTAAGAAGCTTGATGCCTGCTGTGTACTGGTAAGGTTAAAAAAAAAAGAAATATTGTATATCAAAGATGCTTGCGCTGCATATTCTAATGTTATATATTTCATTAATTTTCTCCTCTGCCAACGGTGCCAATGGTGCACAATTTGTCTGTTTAATGCCAATAATATTATCCTCTTTTAGCGGCAGGTGGAACATCAACAGAACCAATTATGCAAACAATGGCCTAATTTCCATAATTGATATGAAAATTCTGTGATTTCTTAATGGTGAATGGTGAGAATTTTATACCTTATGACATGTATAAGTTACTTAAAGGTTAGCATCACTATGCATATATTATGTTAATATGGAGGTCATTTGCATAACTAATGAGGACATGTGAAATTGAAATCTTGCCAAAATATAGAAAGTTCACAAACAAAATATTAGAAAACCACAAATTAAACTAGATTATGGTAATTACGACCTTATTTCCATAATGAATGACACAATGACCCCCCCTAAAAAACATTTACATAAACTCTACATATTTCATGGAGGTATGAAGTCTCCAAAATGTTGTCTTTGTGATTGCAACAATTTTGTTCATCCGTTGGATTTCAAACATCCTTATCAATCTACCATCTTATTCTTCCAGCGTTGCAATGCCGAACTCTGACGGCCCCAGCAAATGGATTTCTGAGTCCAGTCGGAGCGAACTCCTACCAGGACGTGGTTACGTTCACCTGTGACCAGGGATACAAACTGGGCGGAGCCTCTAGTGTGACGTGCCAGGCCGACCGAACATGGAGTGCACCTGTTCCAACTTGCCAACGTAAGTATATAGGTTTTAAAAGACCGATTTGATTTTGAAAACAATGTAAAGATCATCTCAAATAATACGTCGATGAAGGTTAGACATCCAGGTAATACGATATGCCAAAAAACAGTTACTCAAGCAACTGAGTCCTGTCGAAGCGAATCATATCCAGTTGCTTGAGTAACTGTTTTTTGACATCTCAAATAATAATTGTTTGATTAGCAATTAAGAGGAAAATAAACTAGTATTTTTCATCTATTGAGATTTAACACATATTGTATACTAGACATCCCCCTTACAATGTATCTTGGTTTTAGCGTTGCAATGTCCAACTCTGACGGCCCCAGCAAATGGATTTCTGAGTCCAGTCGGAGCGAACTCCTACCAGGACGTGGTTACGTTCACCTGTGACCAGGGATACGGACTGGACGGAGCCTCTAGTGTGAGGTGCCAGGCGGACCGAACATGGAGTGCACCTGTTCCAACTTGCTACCGTAAGTATATAGGTTTTAAAAGACCGATTTGCCTTTCAAAACAATGTAAAGATCATCTCAAATAATTGATTAGCAAGTAAGAGGTAACAAGAGTTACACGATCCCATACCTTCGCCAAATGATGCTAACCATCCGGGGGACAAATTATACATTTTTACTAATTGATTTCGCAAATTAGAGCCTCATTTGCATTGATTATATCACTTGATCATATTCTCCACCCAACGACATCCTTATCTAAATAAAAAGGCTATTCTAGCACTTCCTTATAAATCATGAAAATGAGGTCAAGATTTGAATAAATTATGTTTATTCATGTTCACCTTCACTTAACTTCCAAACGCAAGTATGAAATTCCCAGCGGTTCTTACTGAAATCATAGCAATTTGCCATAAATTATGCAAATTAGGTCTTCATTTACATAATCTATGTCTTCAGATGCAACTCTCCTTCCCAATTACACATGTCTCAAGTGTTTCATATTCCTATTATCGAACACAGCAGATTTATAGAATGTCCTCATTGTATATCAAAGATGCTTGCGCTGCATATTCTAATGTTATATATTTCATTAATTTTCTCCTCTGCCAACTCCTCTGCCAAACCGGTGCACAATTTGTCTGTTTAATGCCAACTAGAGTTTGGAGGGCTCATGACTTCGACAGTGTAATATTGTTTTGAAAACAATTGCACTACAAAATGGTCACACAAAATGGCCAATTGCTGTGATGGTATGTGGTATGTAAGATGAATGGGTTCCTCCCGTGAGTCGCAAATTGTATCTCTCTAGCGGGCTAACTCCCTTTAGCGGCATACTATTCCCTTTATTTTGGCCATTTTCTACTATTTTTCCAGCGATCCATGGTGCCTGGACCTGGCCATTGTGTACAGTATACCAACTTGGGTTCCCGATCAAAACACATTCCAGATGTTTACACTGGGGGCTACAGACCTGTCAAATTAGCAATCGTTAAGCACGCCCCTGCTGGGGAATGTTGTTTCAACAAATAACCATTCAAAGAAAATGTTTTCCGAAGAAAGCCACTGTTGACAGCTTCCTGTCTGTAACTTGTTGTTTTAACCTAGATATAAAACCAGACCAAGACTTCGCCTGCCCTTAAAATGTTCAATCACCAAAAGCCCACTACAGCAACGTACGGACCTCCCACGACGCCCATTTCCGAACTTGATCTTGCTATCGTCAACGGTAACTTGCTCACAAAAATCGTGAACATCCATTTGCGACTTCACGAATTATCCTGCTAACAACAATAACGAACAACACAAAAGGTCAAATTCAATGACGTGGGAACCCCCCACGAGGCCCATTTCCGAACTTGACCTTCGGATTCTCAACGGTAACCTGCCAACTAAAAATCAAAGACAACCATTTAAGAATTACCGAGTTATCTGGAGTACAACCAAAAACGCAAACATAAAAGGTCAGTGACGTGGGAACCCCCCACGAGGCCCATTTCCGAACTTGACCTTCGGATTCTCAACGGTAGCCTGCCAACTAAAAATCAAAGACAACCATTTAAGAATTACCGAGTTATCTGGAGTACAACAAAAAACGCAAACACAAAATTTTCAGCTAAACCCACGAAACCCATTTTTGGCCTTGACAATGCCCATCACTAAGATAACTTGCCTGCCAAAAATCGTGAACCTCGGACCATGCCTTCAAAATGTATCGTGCATAATCTGCCAAACAGTGCCAAAACGATTTCATAGCCTTCTTGTCGAAGGCAATAATACTATCCTCTTTTAGCGGCAGATGGAACATCAACAGAATCAATTATGCAAACAATGACCTAATTTGAATAATTAATATGAAAATTACGTGATTTCTTAATGATTCTAAATTAGTTCTGCGAGATATAGCTTCCTCCCTCCAGAGATAACCACTATGGGTTGTAAGGTTGGTAACGAAGAATAATACGAAGATAACTGGTATGTTATTGCGGTTTGTCTCCACAGATATCGACCAATGTACAACTGGCACGGACAATTGCGATGATGATGCAACCTGTACTAACACAGACGGCAGTTTCACCTGCAGCTGTAACACCGGTTACACCGGGGACGGAGTCACCTGTACTGGTAAGAAGCTTGATGCCTGCTGTGTACTGGTAAGGTTAAAAAAAAAGAAATATTGTATATCAAAGATGCTTGCGCTGCATATTCTAATGTTATATATTTCATTAATTTTCTCCTCTGCCAAACCGATGCACAATTTGTCTGTTTAATGCCAATAATATTACCCTCTTTTAGCGGCAGGTGGAACATCAACAGATACCAATTATGCAAACAATGGCCTAATTTCCATAATTGATATGAAAATTCTGTGATTTCTTAATGGTGAATGGTGAGAATTTTATACCTTATGACATGTATAAGTTACTGAAAGGTTAACATCACTATGCATATATCATGTTAATATGGAGGTCACTTGCATACCTAATGAGGAAATGTCGAATTGAAATATTGCCAAAGGATAGAAATTTCACAAGGAAAATAAAGAAAACCATAAACTAAACCCCCCTCTCCCCCCAAAAAGCATTTACATAAACTCATAGTTCATGGAGGTATGAAGTCTCCGAATCGTTGTCTTTGTGATTGAAACAATTTTGTTCATCCTGTGGATTTCAAACATTCTTATCAATCTACCATCTTATTCTTCCAGCGTTGCAATGCCGAACTCTGATGGCCCCAGCAAATGGAGCTCTGAGTCCAGTCGGAGCGAACTCCTACCAGGACGTGGTTACGTTCACCTGTGACCAGGGATACGGACTGGACGGGGCCTATAGTGTGAGGTGCCAGGCGGGCCAAACATGGAGTGCACCTGTTCCAACTTGTCAACGTAAGTATATAGGTTTTAAAAGACCGATTTGCCTTTGAAAACAATGTAAAGATCATCTCAAATAATAATTGTTTGATTAGCAATTAAGAGGAAAGTAAACTAGTATTTTTTCATCTATTGAGATTTAACACATATTGTATACTAGACATCCCCCTTACAATGTATCTTGGTTTTAGCGTTGCAATGTCCAACTCTGACGGCCCCAGCAAATGGATTTCTGAGTCCTGTCGAAGCGAACTCCTACCAGGACGTGGTTACGTTCACCTGTGACCAGGGGTACGGACTGAACGGAGCCTCCAGTGTGACGTGTCAGGCGGACCGAACATGGAGTGCACCTGTTCCAACTTGCTACCGTAAGTATATAGGTTTTAAAAGACCGATTTGCCTTTCAAAACAATGTAAAGATCATCTCAAATAATTGATTAGCAAGTAAGAGGTAAACAAAGAGTTAACACGAATCCCATACCTTCGCCAAATGATGCTAACCATCCGGGGGCAAATTATACATTTTTTACTAATTTGATTTCGCAAAATTTAGAGCCTCATTTGCATTGATTATATCACTTGATCATATTCTCCACCCAACGACATCCTTATCTAAATAAAAAAGGCTATTCTAGCACTTCCTTATAAATCATGAAAATGAGGTCAAGATTTGAATAAATTATGTTTATTCATGTTCACCTTCACTTAACTTCCAAACGCAAGTATGAAATTCCCAGCGGTTCTTACTGAAATCATAGCAATTTGCCATAAATTATGCAAATTAGGTCTTCATTTACATAATCTATGTCTTCAGATGTAACTTTCCTTCCCAATTACACATGTCGCAAGTGTTTCATAGTCCTATTATCGAACACAGCAGATTTATAGAATGTCCTCATTGATTATGCAAATTAGCTCCAAATTTACATAATTGTAATTTAATTTTGTCAAGCATCACTTCAGCTACCAAGAATCACGACAATCCGTCAAGCGGTTCTTGAGAGTTATTCTCCTTCGATTTTCGACGATTTTTTTCAACAAAGGCTCCTGCAGCTCCTCAACAAGTTGCTAGGGAAACCAAATTCATGTCACTTCTTTTGAACCCCAAGAGCTATCGACCATAAAAAATTCGTGAACCTAGCATGTCCAGATCGCGAGAGATCAAAACCGAAAGTTCTGCTGCAGTACCAAAGAAAGCCGCCAGGGGGCCCAAAATCTAATCAGCCCTAGGTCTCGTCAAGACCTACCCACCTACTAAGTTTCATGACAATGTATTCAAAACTTCTTGAGTTACGCTGTTAACAGACAGACAGACAGACAAACAGACGGACAGACAAACGCTACTAAAAACATAACCTTCTTGGCGAAGGTAATAAACCAGTATTTTTTGGCGACGTCTCAGAGAGGAGCCTAATGGTAAAGTATTGTGTGCGGTTTGCAAGAATTCTGGTGACAGATAGCTTTTCCTGTCGGGAACAAGTGGTGCGGGTTTTGTCCCCCTAGCAGCATTGTTATGGAACTGCAGGGAAGTTTCTGGCGAAGTCTTGTAAAGCGGATAAGTCCAGAAGGAACAACGTATTTTCATCAATTTTGGTAAGTAGGTAGCTTAGAGAGCTGTACATGATCAAATGCAAATCATGCAAATGAAGACTTAATTTGAATAATTAAAGAGGAAATTCATACTTTCATACATGTAATGTATGTAATCTACGGCAGGTGGACCATCAACAAATACCAATTACGCAAATAATGACCTAATTTGCATAATCAATTTGAAAATTTTGTGATTTACCAATGGTGAATGATCCTTATGTTACATTATCTACGTGTAAAAATGGTAGATTCTTATCATAACTTGTGAATGCATCCTTATCACCAGTGTTTGCCCGGGTAAACGTCAGCCTGATGCTAACAGCACCCCGTCATGTGAACCTGTCTTTACTGAGAGACCCCATAAGGCAGAGTTTGGAGCAGGCTGGTGGGTTCTGTGGAGATCAATGCAAGGTAACTTGTGGGTGTTGTTATTGTAATCGACTAGTTGACTTGTGGGTGGTCATACAGAAGTCTGTTCTTTGTGTCTCTGTACTTACTATTGTGTCAATAAATGTACAATGTATTGCAATATATCCAAATCTCCTTTAGTACCTTTTTCTCTTGTCCCTAGCACAGTCTATACATGTATTAACGTTAGCATGAAAGTTCATCGGAGTTGGTAAATTACATTATGAAGAAGTTAAACTGTTTTCCAACTCAAAATTTGACTCATCGGAATTTTCGACTGAATCACTCAGTCTTCCTCAGCTATCTGACCCCAATGCTGTGGACACGTGATTTTTCCCACGTGTGACGTCAGCAAAGGGTCAAAGGTTGTCTGGAGTTGATATCGCCACATGTGGATGATACTCATACGAAGTTAAAGAAAATTTATGCACAGGAGTTCACAGACCATTTAAACAGTTTGGACCCGGATATCAAGTTTACATTTGACCAAGAAAAAGATGGTGCACTGCCCTTCCTAAACAACAATAACCAGGACAGGTCCCTGCGGGTTAACATATACCGTAAGGCGACACACACGGACCAATATCTAATTTTTTTTTCTTAAACCACCCATTGGACCACAAATTGGGAGTGATCAAGACCCTTTTACATAGAGCTAATACCATCATCAGTGATCCTGCGGATAGAATTACCGAGATCGATCACGTCACAGAAGCCCTAAAGAAGTGTGGCTACCCTCAGTGGCTCATTAAGAAAGCCTCCGAGCCCAGACAGCCCCAGTCTAAACCCCACGATAGTCAGGGAACGGGAGGGAAAAACAGAAAAACACTTGTAGTCCTCCCATACGTAGAGGGTGTTTCTGAGCCCCTACGTAGAATTTTCGCTGCACACGGAGTGAGTACCTGTTTCAGACCTCATCGTACGTTAAGACAGCTCCTTGTGGCACCTAAGGACACAAAACTCCCAAACAAGACAAATGTGGGGTTATCTACCACATACGTTGCCAGGGAAACACTAACAGAGGCCCCTGTCGGGAAACTTACATCGGGGAAACTGAGCGCTCACTAAAAACCAGGTTTCTAGAACATAGATGACCCAGTTCTGTTGCATCTGAGGTGTCGCAGCACATCCACATAGAATCACCGGGACACACAGTGGATCTGACGGGGGTCAGAATCTTGGATACCGAACAGGATTACTTCAAGAGAGGCATAAAAGAGGCCACATACATCAGGGCACTTCAACCATCGCTCAACCGGGACGGGGGGCGATATCGACTTAGGACAACCTTTGACCCTTTGCTGACGTCACACGTGGGAAAAATCACGTGTCTGCAGCATTTGGGTCAGATAGCTGAGGAAGACTGAGAGATTCAGTCGAAAATTCTGGTGAGACTCAAATTTTGAGTTGGAGAACAGTTTAACTTCTTCATAATGTAACGTTTTATACATTCAGGTACTTAGGTCGAACAATTATCCTACAGTGCGGTGTATACACCATATGATTGTTCGAAAAAGATATGAAATGTTACAAAATGCATGTAGAAGAATTAGTGGTGTATTCTGTTTGTATTCTGGGTGTATTCTGTTGTTTTCTAATGTGTAGATCGGTGAGATCTTCCTGCACGTTGTTTCCGACACAAACGGGGCCCGCAAGAGGCGTCAGGCTGGTGACCAGGTTCTGATCAACGTGATTATACAGCTCATCGTGGTGGTCAATCAACAGCAGGGTACCGGTGACACCACGGATGCAACAGTGACAGCCGAGAATCTACTGCAGTAAGTTTCCCATATCATATTCATCATGATGATGAAATGGGAAAGCTGTTGCGTTACATCACATTTTTTACTGTCGTCAAATTCTTTGAATGAATCAATACATATTAACCTTATGATTTGCTGCAGTACAAATCTCTATACGATTATATTTTTACCACAGACAGAACGCATATGCCCTGAGACAACTAGCTAGAAGTGGTCAACTGTCCGTGGACATCGGTGGAGAACACATCCGTCTTGTGGACAGCAGCGACAGCTCCAGTAACTGTCCTTCTGGTCAATACAAAAGTAATGGCAACTGTGGTAAGTGGTGACTGATGTTGTCCTAAAAAGTCTATCAAATGAACTGTAGATTTCGTTTTTAGTCAAGGTTCTAAAAATTGCATCATGACTTAATATTTGGAATACTGAAAGATTATGTGCAATTATCACTGAAACGAATTAAGAGGATAAGACTCATACCAGTATACAACATATGCATAGTGTCATTCTCTTACTAAAGCTGAAGAAAAGAGAACACCCCCGTGGTTGGTTGGAGTGGTCTGTGCTGCTGTGGTCGTTCTAGTCATCATTGCTGTGGTGACCGTTCTGTTATGCCGACGGAAACACACCCCAGGGTAAGTAATCTACTCAGATTTATATAGGGCTAAAGGGTAAAGAATAGGTATACCCCTCTGTGTGTGCACATATATACCACCAATTGTGTCGAATAACTGCGTTTTGTGTTCACAGTACCAACGTGCCAGGGAAGAGTGGAAACGAAATGGTAAGCTCTTAGAATCATTCCGAACTTCCACTTCTGATTTTCTCCTCATATCTTTGACGTATTAAAGGAAATAGAAACATTCATTTTTAGTACCAATTCTTCTCTAAAATGTGCGTGCTAAACCCAGTTTTATTCTTGGCATCACGTCTTTTTTTGTTTAAGCCTTTTTCTTGATGACGTCATCATCATCATCTATTGTGGCTGTGGAAAGGTCAAACAGTTGCAATGAGTATTTCTTGAATTCGTTCCACTGTGCCTTGCATCGTACAAGCTTCCGTAGTTCTGAAATCTTTGAGACTCACAATCTACACTTTCCTCCTCCACACAGAAAAATCTCGGTACACCTGAGCGACATGATCACACAGCTAGCGAAGGGACGGTTGACAACATTATCTACAACACCGAAGACGAGGGTTTCGTGGACAACGTCATCTACAACGCCGGCGATGAAGGGACCGTGGACAACGTCATCTACCAAGGAGAAAACTCTAAATCCAACAATCAAGAGGTACACTTTAAAATGTGCATGATTTGTACAGAACACAAAATCTCTAACCCTAGTTTTTTTTTTATTCCAACATGTAATCACCAGACGTGGTGACGACACACTCAAGTTTTTTCAACTTATATTAATGCCTCCACCAACACAGGAACAAATACATGACAGGACAATACTCATTTACACCTGAGCTGCATGTAAGTGAGGAAAGTGCCTTTCCCAATGGCACAAGATCGGTGGCATGTCAGGACTCGAACCCGGGACTCTTAGTTCCGAGTCGCGCACTCTGCCGCTACGCCACACGACCCCGCCGCTACGCCACACGACCCTAGTTACTATGTAGTCCCTTTGTAAACTATCTTGTGACTACCGTACTGCCTTAGGCTAAACCTTCTTGGAATTTTATATCATGTTGTTTACAATGATGGAAAGGTCTCCAGATATAAGTAAGGGAGAATAGTGATGAAGATTTTATTCATGTCAGTTGAATATGACTAATTGTGACCCGTTAACGTACCTTTTATATTCATGTTTTATTCCAGAATGCACCTGAGTCGCAGTACGAGACTGTCAACTAGGGAAGTGGTGTCGTATCTACAGTTGAGAAAACGTCGGCTGTAGACTGTCATCGGTCCATTACAGTCACTCTGTATCTATATGAATAGCTAATACATGTAATATGAAAATTAAGCAATATTTTATACGGATTAAATACTTTATTGTACACCATTTAGATCAATACATTTCAAGTCACACAGTATACCATGTTATTTGTCCGATGAGCATAACGGAATAATACAATCTGAATGGTTCGTTCTAGTTAATATGTAACATTCCGTGATATACTTGCATTCTCCTACCACGTGATATTATAAATCATATCTATAGGATTAGTATATGCTCTCCAAATATATAAAAATAATTCTGGTGACATTTGTACCTCAATCCATATTCAAACCTTTACTGAGACTGTTGGTGATTTTTAAAAGTTCCACATTTTACTAAATATACACATGTATATCACAGAATACATCGGTATTATTAGCATTGCACATGTACCAGAAATTAAGTTCCACATTTTATTGAATATACACATGTATATCACAGAATACATAGGTATCGTTAGCATTGTACATGTAACCAGAAAAAGACGTATATATTTTATTCAGAATCATTACAACTTCTGGTGGTTATATTTCACACATGCAGAGTTTGAGTTCGGTGGCATCTCTAGAAGTGCTCAGGGTGTCCAAAGACCCCAATACCGAATGCAAATATCTTAATAGTGTTACTTTATAAGTTGCACTCTGAAGATAGACGACAAACATCTCGCAGTAGAATAAAATCAGCACAATCTGTCTTAAACTGCGTTTGCAATTAAATTTGGAGACAACACTTTCACGATTGTGCAATAGCTTTCATTCCTCAAATGTCTAGACCGAAATGTTTACAATTTACAATATATAATTGTGGCAACACAAGTATGACTTCCTCAACTCTCAATCTCGTGATCTCTTCTCTTACAATACTTAAAGTATAGGATAACTACAATACGGTCATGGTTTACGGTCAGAAACACGATGGACGATGTATCAATGTGTAACGTTGGTTTCGTCACACATCTTACTGCTATGCAACGAACCCTCAATAGGAGTCGCTAGTGTCCTGGAAATAAACACAGTGGGCTACTAAGGCAAATTTCACTTGAGATCAATTCTCCAACAATTGAGAAACAGGTCACCATTGAGCAACAATTGTGGAATAGACAAATTGCTAACAATTGGTAGACCGGGAGGCGGCTTTTGTCCCATGGTACATGTATCAGAGTTAAAACTGCTTTACCCTATATATTATTTAATTGAGCCCGGGGTTGCTCATTCAACTGGTGACTTTTCCCTTCCAGTTTGAAATACTTGAGAAAATATTCATGATATGGCACCTACGTAATGAGGTAAAACATCTATAAGACATTAGAACTGTGCAAAAAGATCTGAGTGTTAAATGTATTACTTGCGTTTTTCAATTCCTGATATTCATAGTGCTTTGCAATTGACCAGTTTATTCGACCCTAAAGAATAAAAATACTCACTTGATGTTGTCTGTGTGCGTGTACGCAATATTCTTGCGCGATTTGACCTCTAATTACTAGCCACTGGTTCTACTACTGACTGAAAGAATACGCCGTAGGGGATGTATCTTTTGTTGTCCAAAGATCGATATCACAACACGGGTACAACAAAAACGGCACCAAGGACAGATTTGTATAATCGGGCATTAAAAAATATGCGGGCATGAGGAATATGCCTTTTATGGCTAACCGTCAGCGAAACTGGCGGTACATACTAGTATACTCGTCACTTAAAGATTTAGTTTGTGAACAAGCCAGGGTCTTTTCAGGACATGCAAATTACATGTCAGAGGTCATGAGCGCATGACTCAGATAGGGAAGAACTTTGCTTCCTTGTCGATAACAATCAGGTTCCACTTTGGGCTTCTTCACGGTTGAAGATAGGGTGGGATTGTTGATAGTTTTACATGGTTTCTGCTTCGAGGACCGTTCGTAGGTGGTTGACAGCGACACTTTCTCCGTTTGTTGACAGGACTACGTGAGACTCTGCACGGATACTGTGACACGTGAGTACTGCGAAGGTATAACTACCAGTTTGGTGACCATTCGTCTGCTGTTGCAATTATCAAAATACACTTCCGAGAACACATTCTGGGATTCTCATGTGTCTTTATAAACTTTTTTTTGCTAGTCGGTGAGTCATTGCATATTAATTTTTATTATTTTATTATTTATTATTTACCCATGATACTGATAGGACGGTATGGTATTTCACTCGTTCATGATCATCGTTTTAAAAAATGGCAACGAGAACATGTCAACAGAGAGAAAAGGTGTGATATAAACAGACAGAATGCCTTTTTATAGACAGATTTACCAAAACTTTACTCTTTATATTTAGAATGCAAAGAAGATTGCGGACAAGGACAATTAGGGATTTCCGTTTGCCGTTTCTACATGAAATAGCTTACATCTTGTTTACGCACATAATTGTCTCAAGTACAGGCGTTGTATTAATGGTTTGAGGCATCATGATACCTCAAATCATTAATACAATGCCTTACTTGATACGTGTGTAAAAAAGATGTAAGCTATCAGTACGATATATGTGATCACAAGTGTAGGTAACTTCCAAGTATAGGGTAACAAAATGGTTAGTCCATTCAAGCTTTCGCTCGAAAGCCCAGTCAATCAATCAACCAATCAATCAATTTAGCCATTTTGAATTCGAGAATTTTGAATAGACTGATATCGATATCGAGACTGACTTTGGTGCTTTGGTAATCGGTTGCATTTCGAATCATGATGACATTTCGCATCACGTAAGGAAATTATTTAATTTGACTTATCGATCACTGTTAATCAGGTGACTCTAGCCCCCATCACTGATGAGGGTTTACGTGTGGTTCTGGGTAACCGCTCTCCTGCGGACAGTGGATGGATTTGCAGGTAACAATTATACATGTACAACACACAATGCTTAACAAGAATTCCGAGATCTCATACCTCCATGAAATATGGGCTTGATATGTAAATGTAAATTTCTTCCATAATTATGCAAATGACCTATACACTAACATAATAGATGCATCATGATGTTAACTTTTGATTAACTTACACGTATCCGAAGTATGAAATTCCCATCATTTACCACTACGGAGTCATAGAATTTTCAGATTAATTATGCAAATTATGTCCATATTTGCATAATATCTGTTCATATTCCACCTGCAATAGATTATACATTGCATGTTTCAATGTCCCATGATATAAAACACTGGAATTACATAATTTCCTCATTAATTATGTAAATGAAGTCATCACTTGAATAATTTGGATCCAATAGTGTAGATCTCTGTGTAAGCTACCCACATATGAAAAATTATAAAAATACATTGTTCCTATCTGAAGTTATCTGCTCTGAAAGATTTTGACAGAAACCCCCCTGCCGTTCCAGTTTCTGCGTAAAGATTGTCCTTCTCTGGTGTTAAAAGATAACATCGTTAATGTTTACATGGATATTATTTATTTTGTTAATTGATCACTCTATTTCGTTTAACGAGAGTCATGGGGCAATCATCTCCCCCTCGACCATCAAGAGAGAGGTAACATCCAATGCAGGTAGGTATCATTTTTCTGTGTAAAGATTCCCCCTCCCTAGTTGTTAATGACAACAGCGTCAATCAATATGTTTACGCAGGTTATCTATTTTGTGAATTGCTTACTCTATCACTTGTAGGGCGAACCATGGAACAATCATCAACCTCGACCGTCAAACCAGACATGACATCCAACATCGGTAGGTATCTTTTTTGTGTGAGTTGTTTTTAATTGTTTCCCGGGTAAAAGTACAAATTTATTTGGATATATTGGAACGTTAAACGGTACTGAATGATAGTACGGTATCGTTTGCAGTCATACATAACTGAATTTGACTGATCGTGCCCATTTGTTATCTAAACTGTGTCGTTTTCAAACAATGAACCAATATTGTATTTGATGACAAGTTAAACATGCATATGACATCCAATGTCACTGTCTTTGCCTTTTCTCCTCGATTGCAATTTCGGCTACACTATTTTCTCCTCGATTGCAATTTCGGCTATACTATGCTATCGCGTATTAAATTTTGAAGTATTAAAAAATTTCATCTTTGTAGATACCACTTCAGGCGCCACTCCGAATGTTGCTCAGACGTCGTCTCGTCCCCCAGGCAAGTGCATGCAACAGTTCGTTGTGACGTATCAACATACAAAGTTAATATGTCATAACGCTGTACCAAATACAACTACTGGTTTGGGATCAAAAGCCTCTCTAGCAACTGTAGAGCAACGTACTACATACATGTATTTACGATTGCACATCCATACTATAGGCATAGCTTTTTACATCAGGTATCTCTGTTAAAATGTGTACCATGTGAACTTCAATAAATAATGCGTGTGCTTAAAAGAAAAAAAATAATTGAAATTCAAAATTTATCATCTAAAGAATGGTAGATTCTTATTTTACTAGTGCTTGCCCGGGTGAACGTCAGCCTGACGCTAACAGTACCCCGTCATGTACATGTGAACCTGTCCGCACTGAGAGACTCCATAAGGCGGAGTTTGGAGAAGCAGGCTGATGGGTTCTGTGGGAATCAATGTCAGGTAACTTGTGATGTTATTTTTGTTACTGACTATTTGTTGAAATGTTGGTGGCCATACAGAAGCCTCTGTACTTTGTGTCTCTGTACTTACTGTTGCTTCAATAAATGTACAATGTATTGCAATACATGTGTATCTAAATGTTCTTTAGTACCTTTTTTTCTGTTGACCAGGGTACGGTCTATATAATGTATTAAAAAGGTCACACAATTATCCTACAGTGCGGTGTATACACCATATGGTTGTTCGAAGAGTAAATCATGGTAAGTGCATGTAGATGGATTAGTAAGTATGGGTGTACCCTGTTTTACCGATGTGTAGATCGGTGAGATCCTCCTGCACGTTGTTACCGACACAACCGGGGCCCGCAAGAAGCGTCAGGCTGGTGACCAGGTTCTGATCAACGTGATCATACAGCTCATCGTGGTGGTCAATCAAAAGCAGGGTGACACCACAGATGCAACGGTGGCAGTTGAGAATCTGCAGTAAGTTTCAAACTAAAACTTGAAAGATTACATATACGTACCATGATGATGATATTGGAAAGCTGTAGTTTCAAACCACCATTGGCGGGTGTTCGACGTCATCTCTATTGAATCAAGAAAACTACATATTAAAACAATATAACAATAAGACAAGATGAATTGTTAAAACACCTCGGTCGACCCTCTTAGACAGATCAACATTGATCTAGAGAGCAAGGATAAAGGGGGAGGGGGGCTGTGCATCAGCCATCAGTTTATACATTGTATTGGCACAGATACATTCTATGTTACTACTAGTATCATTGCAAATGTTTACAAAGGTTACCGGCTGGAAATCAGACCAGACGGGGACTCCCACACAGGGGTGTTCCTTGCAAAAGATATGCGGAGAGCACACCTTTTGCTGTGAAAACACATTCTATAAACTAGAAAGGCCAATATTTGCTTTGGAGCAAATACAGCGATGGGTTCACCACATTTTACGACGTCATGGCAGGGAAAGAATGAGAAACACAAGGGAAAACAATGATTTACATTGATATAACTATAATATGAAGTAACATACAACTAAAACAACAGTTGGATAGCTATTCCCTACTTTATTGGTTAGGATTTTTAATTGCATAATGCAAACTGTTGATTTTCAAAATAAATAAAAAAACGTTCATGCCCCGCATTCCAATGCTGGAGCAGAAAAGCTTGAAATACCTACCAAAACACTTGAATAAAGACATACTGTCAGTATGGAAATCTCTGTGCAGGTGTTAATCAAGTTAAATCCCAACAGCCAATCAGCAAGAAATGCTCTGTGCAGGTGGAAATGCTCTGTGCTTGTGTTAATCAAGTTAAATCCCAACAGCCAATCAGCAAGAAGTATAGAGGAAAGCTGCATGCCTATTGGTTGATGCCCTGCATTCCATTGTGATGACTCATGCCCAGACGTAGTAAACAAGGCACACTAACACAGTAATACATTTGCTATAATACAGCCAAAAAACTCAAACAAGAAGCCATAGGCGACAATTCTCCGTGAAGTATTATATATTGCAACAAAAAGAAGTAGCCATTGGCGACAATTCTCTGTGAAGTGTGATAAATCGAACAAAGAAAAATTGTTTAAACGCGCGTCGGCTCAGTCATCTTAAGACGCAACAACCAATCAGAGATGCGAGATGCCTACACGTGACGCGGGAAGGGCGCGCGATGCCCGAAATATTTTTGCGTCAATATTCAGCGCCGTGATTCAAGAGATTAATACCCGGAAACTAATTTTTTTTCTTGTTTTGAACGCATTAACATGCATTTACGCTAATCTAGTATGATTCAGGGTTACTTTTTTTTTAACCTGCCATGGCCAGATTATCTAAAGATGTGTGTATTGTGTGTACAATCTATAGAAAGAGAAATGTACATCAGGTCCGATCATCCGATTTTCACGTTTCGGTTTTTGGACTCGGTTCATGAACGTATTTTGGTTTGGCTCCTGGAATGTGCAAAAAATGACTCCCGGGACTGTCTACAGGGAACACTCGCACATTCGCGGTGTATCAGGACAGCGCGACTGGTCGTCATTAGCGCAGTAACAGTTGCATAAACGGACGAAACCATTTCAAAGAAATGGGGATGTTTCGAAAATAAGCATTTACTCCAATATCAAAACAGCTACGGTAAAAATAAAAAGACGTGCATCATCCCGGACATAATGCAACACCACATGCGAAATTACACAGAAATGCGACGTACGGAAGAATGCGTTTTGGCTGCGAACATCTTCCAAAAAACTTGGCATCTCTTAACCATGGGCAAAAACATCTGGAACCACTTATAAAAACCACCCCGTATCTGCATGAACTTTTTTGAACCCCACTGCTATTCCAAACAACGCGTTTTTCTGGACCATTCCAATTCGCCTCGTAATTGTAGGGGTGCGTCTGCGATATTACATTGACCGCGAAAGCAGCAACGGCAAAAATACACATTCGTGCATCAACACGGGCATGCCCGCAGACGGCGTATAAAATTGCGTGCCGATTACACAAAGAGAACCCAGTGTTTTGACTGCGAACATGAAAAATCAGCCGATTACAACACTCCGTCCGGAGGTCCTGACCTCCTTCACGGAGTAATAAAACCATTCTAAAAGCCTGTATCACAATAATTTAAAAAACGCCTAGGGGTATTTGCCCACTGTACCTCCATACCAAATTTCAGGACCTTGGGCCCTAAAATGAAGAAGCTGAATCCATTTAAAAAATGGCAGGAGGAGAAGGAGGAGGAGAAGAAGAAGAAACACCAGAAAAAGCAATATGGTTTCACCACACCACTTCGTGGTGTGGTGAACCCATAATGAATCAATATGTAAGCCTACAGGATTAGCGGTTGTACAAATCTATATACGATATTTACCATAGAAAGGAAGCAGATGCCCTGAGACAACTTGCTGCAAGTGGTCAACTGTCAGTCAACATCGGTGGAGAACAGGTCCGTCTGGTGGACAACAGTGGTAGCTCCAGTACCTGTCCTTCTGGTCAATACAGGAATAATGACGGCAACTGCGGTAAGTGGAGACTGATGTTGTCCTATAAAGTCTATCAAATGTACTGTAAATTTCGTTACTGAAAGATTATGTGCTATTATCACTGCTCGGTAATGTAATACGTTGAACGTCCATGAAAACGAATTAAGATGATAAGACTGGTACTAATTTATACATCTGATTATGCATGGTGTTATTTCTCTTGCTAAAGAGGAAGAAACGAAAACACCCCCGTGGTTGGTTGGAGTGGTCTGTGCTGCTGTGGTCGTTCTAGTCATCATTGTTGTGGTGGTCGTTCTGTTATGCCGACGGAAACACAGCCCAGGGTATGTAATCTACTTAGATTTATATAGGGATAAAGGTTACAGAATAGGTATACCATTCTGTGTGTGCACATATATACCACCAATTGTGTCGAATAACTGCGTTTTGTGTTCACAGTACCAACGTGCCAGGGAATAGTGGAAACGAAATGGTAAGCTCTTAGAATCATTTCAATCATTTCAATCAACGTCATCTACCAAGGAGAAAACTCCAAATCCAACAATCAAGAGGTACACTTTAAAATGTGCATGATTTGTACAGAACACAAAATCTCTAACCCTAGTTAATATGTAGTCCCTTTGTAAACTATCTTGTGACTACCGTACTGCCTTAGGCTAAACCTTCTTGGAATTTTATATCATGTTGTTTACAATGATGGAAAGGTCTCCAGATATACGTAAGGGAGAATAGTGATGAAGATTTTATTCGTGTCAGTTGAATATGACTAATTTGTGACCCGTTAACGTACCTTTGATATTCATGTTTTATTCCAGAATGCACCTGAGTCGCAGTACGAGACTGTCAACTAGGGCAGTGGTGTCGCCTCTACAGTTGACTGTTTTCGGCCCTTTAACAGTTCCTGTACATCTATATGAATAGCAATAGCGCTAATACATGTAATATGACAATTATACAATATGTTATACGGATATAATACTTTATTACACACCAGTAAAATCAATACATTTCAAGTCACACTTTACAGTATACCCTGCCATTTGTCCGATGTGCACAATAGAGTAACGACCTGAATGGTCCTTTCTAGTTATGTAACATTTTATGATATACTTTACATATTATTCTATCATGTGATATATATAAAATCATATCAATAGGATAAGTATATTCTCCACATATATGAAAATAATACTAGTTCTGGTTTTAGCTCAATTCATGTTGAAACCTTCTGTGGGATTGTTGGTGATTTTCAAACGTTTCACATTTAATGAAATATACATATGTATACAATAGAATATAACAGGAGAGTAAGCATTACACATGGAACTAGAAATAGAGTATCTCTCAAAGAAGTATATTATTCAGAAAGGCACACTAAAAGTATAAAAGGAGTGGTCCGATCTCTGTAATTCTTGAGAAAGATTTAATAAAGTCGAAACCGGTCGAATTCTGTCTCATCGTTGTCATTCTATGATCGCTACGAATTATATATTATTCAGAAACATTACAATTCATAGTGACTACAGGTTATATTTCACGCTTTCCCTGGTGGCATCTCCAGACGTGCCGAGGACGTCCAAAGACTGCAAACTGTCTCTCAATAGTGTTGCTTTGGAAGCTGTACTCTGAAAATAGAAAACAG